TTGTTGTTGATTTATTTGTAGGTATTGGTTATTAAGTTTTAAATCTATTAGTAACTTTTGATACTTTATATTAGGATCTACTCAAGAAAAAGCTGTAAATACCTATGAATAATATCTAAGAAAATGTAAATAATAATAAATAAAGAAACAGCTAAAGTAAAATCACAATAAGTTCATTAAATCTCATCTCATAACCACACCACTTAATTTTAAAATAGTTTTTCTTGGCTTAAGCAACCTATTAAGATGCCAAGATTTAATCTTATTTATAGTGATGTCCCCGTTAAGTAAACACAACCTCTTAATTAGTAAAACAATAGCAATGACGGTTATCCTTTGCAAGAATGTATTTAATGTATCCTTGGGATTGCATTCTGGGCACATCCGCCTAGCCGATGCTCGGTCGAAATTTTATCAAAGCAATTGGTGCGTCCATCCGCAGCTCTAAACCGAAACCAATCCCTGCCAGCAATGCTCTCCTTGTGGCTCTAACTTTATTTATGAGTCAATGACGTCGCCTGCAACTTCCTGTGACGTGACAATTCCCCCAAGCACTTGGCGAGAGGCGCCAAATGAAAACACGTGACGCCCGGGCAATTGGTGGGCAACAAAGCTCCGGCTTTGAGTTATGGCAAACGCAGCTCCTCCGCACACAAACAAAGGAGGAGAGCGACGCCACTCCATCCAGTCATCCAGCCATCCAGCAATCCGGCAGTACCCGAACACCGGAAGGCAACCCACTGGCCACGTTTGCATTTCAATTGACTTTCCGTGAGCTTTGCTTTCCTTGCCTTCGCCGGGTGCTCCCCCTTACCGCTCCACAGCTCTGTAGTTTTCACGATAAAATCATAAATCAGCGCTGAATCAGGTAAATAAAAATAATGCTCAAACTCTGTATGCAAATTGAACGGAGAACCGAGGGCAGCGGAGACTCTTCTGCCGAGATTTGACTCTGCAAAAATATGATAAAACTTGAGGCAGTCGGAAAAACTTCCCAACTGTGGCTAAAAACTTCACTTTGCTTATGCGAATGAGTTGGGTTGGCGGGAGGGATTTTGAATAATATTGTTGAAGACAGAGAAACTCTAGTATTATTTTTTTGGTGTGCCAAAAACTTCAAGGGAGTGGGAGAAACGAGATGAGTAAATGGCAATGGCTCTGTAATCGGGCCACGTTAATTAGCCAGCGCTCTAAAGAGCATATCAAATGTTGTTTTAGAGCAAAGAGCCGGGTCCCCTCAAATCGGAAAAGTCTTTTACAGAGCACAGCAAAACTTTGATTTCTCAAATAATGTATGATAATGTATAGATAAGGGTGAGGACTTAGTAAAAGTTGTAACCGCAAGGGAAAAGGAATGGTCTTGATATGTAATTGCAATACTTATTTGCTTAATCATCTAATCAGACATCTATTTAACTATCTATCTATCTATCTGTCTAAATATCGATCTATCCCTCCATTTATCTATTTATCTATTCACAAACGAACTTCGTATCTCTCTCACTCCGTTGGCATTGATTCAAGTACACATCACTCTAATGCTCACATTCGTTTCAAAAATCCTGTTAACTGGTGTATTTGCTTACCACAACACACACAAACAACACACTGCAAAGTGCAACACACACACCCCCCAAAACCTTTTGCCAGCTTCGATTGACCTGCGCTTTATTACTTCAAAAATGCGGAATTTGGCAAACGCTCAAAAGGATCGCAACGAGTCCATGTTACATCGCCGGCCAATTACACGGCTTTGAGGTCATCGCACCATATTGGCCCGCTTTTCCCTACATCGCTCCTCTTTCGTCCCGCCTCCTTGTTAAGTATCCGCAAAGCATGCTGTTTCTGCCAGTTGCTGGAATTCAGCTTTGTGGCAGACAAAACTGCATTGCAATCGTTGCGGTTTCTCCATGGGCTTCGGCTTGGCATTGGGCATTGCATCGGACATGGCAGGCGTCGTCTTAAAGTAGGCTCCGTTTATTAATTAACACAAACCAGGTCGGCTCAGATTTCGGCTTTGCATACTGCATCCAGCAGGAAGGATGCCTGACCGCACCTGGTCATTTCCAGCAGTTTGTAAACCGAATCCCAGGCATCCTCGCATGCATATTGAAGTGAGACTGACTCTCCTTCCGCACCTCTCCTCACCCTCTTTCAATTATGGACCTCTCCAAAACTGTTTATAACAATTTTTCAAATGCTCACCTGGCCAAACAAAACCTGGGCAACGGCTCTATGGCCCACTGGCACCATGGAAACAAGTGTGCAGGGGGTCTGAATGATTTTTGCCCATCGTTCGGGGACAGAAACTAATAGGTATCGAGTTCCAGCTCTAAGGGACTTTAAATTTAGTCATCTTTAACATGAATGCTTAGCATTACATATTCCCTTTTCTAAAGCGAATGCTGCACAGCCATTACATATTTGTAAAGTAAGAAAGATAGCCCCGGGCTTGACTTCGATGAATGCGCGCTGCGAGATTGCTGCTGCACATTCGGCACTAATTACGGAGTCTGGCCCCGGGCACACGACCGCCTTGGCACACGCTCCAGCTCGGCTCCGTTCCGCTCTCTCAAAGGAACACGCCCGGCCCCGGCCTGGCCCGTCCCGGCATCATTTAAAAGTTATTAAGCACATATGCAAACAGACGAGGCAAAGGCAGAGCGCGTTCGAGTTGTCTCGAAGCCACGCTGTGTTTATCAAACCCGTGTGACGTAGATAAATATGCAGTGGGTGAATGGTGTGCCGCGGGTGCCAGCGGGGAGCTGCAGCATCGGCAGGACAGGGAGCGGAAACGTCGCTACACAAACAGAGAGACACTTATAGGAAAGGCACACACACAGACCCACAGCCACGCACATAAGAGCATTTCCGCAGGATAATAATAGGAAATAAGTAAGGCTTTAAGTTTAAGTAATTGTAATTACCAAAATATTTTAATTAGACAAATGAGGCTTTTTAATAAATTGTTATATTTAAATTATTATTAAGAAGAATTCTCTATTTAGTCAAACTTTGTGAAAGGAACTTTTTCATCTATTTATAAGATGGACATCAAATTCACAAGAATCTTCTCCAAATTAGAGATATTTAGAGAATATTAAATTCCATCAGCTTTTAAAAACATCTTTACATAGTGTATTTATTTTCTTGGAAACATCCTTATACCAAGCGAAGTCAATAAATTCTCATTTCGCTAGATGCGTGGAATATTTCACCTGCAAACAAAGTGTGCTCCTCGCTACTCCGCTCTCTCTCCGCAGACGCAATAATAAATACAAATAAAAACATGACGCATAAAGATTACAGTCACCGCAAGCGTACGAAGGAGCCAACTCATCCAGGTTCTTCCTTCCCCTCCTCTGTCCCTCCTTCCGTCCACACACTCTCAATCCAATCTATATTAAGTATACGCACCGTTTGAACCATGCATTTTAATGATGTCTCCGTTGCCCCTGGCTCGTCACCTAATCTTTCGCACTCTCTAAGGTGTGTGTGTGTCTGTGTGTGAAGGTAAATGTTCATTTATTTTAATTAGTATAGAGCTGGCTTGTCCTCGCTCCGACGGCTTCGATAGATCAAGGCAATTGGGTGGGCGGTGGATGTGGGTCTAAGGAAAAGCACCTTAGATACAGGGTGAGAATATTTTAAATTTGAATTAATTGGAATGATTCAAAAGGTGAGATCTATGAGAAATTAAACGGACTTTGTGTTTGGTTTTCTAGAATATAAATAAATAGGAATACTTTCCATATTTGAACAAATATTTTTCAAATTCTAAAGGAAGACTAATAAAATGTTTGCCTTATTTTTATGTGGTAAATATTATATTCTATATAAGCCACAGGAACTAATATAAATTTAGCAGAATTATAAAGAATATAAACCCCATTTATTATATTATATTTCTCTTTTTCCAGTGTATGTGAGCCAGTCTATTAAAAAATACATTACCTAGATAACCAGTTTCCCCACAGTGTGGAAAATCTTAAAAGTTATCTTAGAATTTATCTTTGAATTAATGAAAAATCAATGGCTTCCCCTGGAATTGATTTCTCAATCACCTTTATTTGGTGGCTCACTGATTGACTCTGAACTTCGTTGGGGAAATGACGATGGGGGAAACCGGGCTATATGCACTTTTAGTAAAGTCATCAAAGAGCTTGCCAGGCGGTTGTTAGGCAATTTCAAATGGCAAAGTTGACTTTTGCACTTGCACTTAGCCAACTTAGCCTGCTTCGCCGCTCTGCCCCCAACAGTCGCCACTCACTTACTGCAGCCACTCACTTTGCCGTGTTGACGGTGCCGAGTAAATATTTCCATTTATGGTCTTATACAGTTATTGAGCCAGCGACCACGTTCCCAGGCTACTTGACCTGGCCCGGTAGCCCGTTAGCTTGGTAGCCCGTAGCCCGTAGCCCGCACGCCCTGGCAACTAACAACTGCGGCAAAGCGGCAACGTCCCTGGCACGTTGCTAATGTGCATAGCCATTAAGTCAGAGCTGCGTGTTTTGTTTACGCAACGGCGTGCGCTTCATAACTTGATGCACTTGGAGAAAAAATGCAAAAAAGAGAAGATCTTTAAATGGTCTACAAAATGGAAGAAGTTAGTTAAGAAATTTATTGAAATAACCAAAGGAACCTATAAGCTTTAAGAGATTTTTAAGAGCTATCTATGAACCTAACAACTACTTAGTAACTTTTCCGCTCCCCTTTTTCGTGTGGTGTAAGAGGTTCGAGGAGCTAAACAATTTCCCAGCCATGCCATTCGACTGTTGCATGTTGCAGCTGACAGGTAGCCAAGGGGATGTGGAGCAGGAGCGGCAGAATATTACATTAAATCGTGGGGGTGGTGCCTGGGTGGGTTAACCTAACAACGCGGCCAAGGCAACAGCAATAACCGGGATGCGGAAACAAAACAAGCAGCATAAACAACACAACTTTATTCGAATCAAAGTAACCCGGCCACAGTCTCGAGACGGAGGCGAGGAAATGAAAATATCTTTCATCAAACGTTGTTAACAAATTGTGTATCCGTGTGCGTGTGTGTGGTTGTAAACGTGTGGTTCCGTGAGCCAAAAGCATCATTTCGAGGCATTCATATTTGCTCATAGACGGGCTGCCTGCCAGTTGGCACGGCCACCGTGCCCGCCCCCGCCTCCGAATCGTCGCAGTTGCAGCCGCAGCTGTTGTCCTGGGATACACAAAAGGATTTTCAGACGCCCAGAAGTAAACACGAGCGGCGAAACGAAAGCAACTGCACAGCGGCAGCTGAAATTGATTGAAAGAACAACAAAAACGGAAAGGTGGTTGCGCATCCGCCGGGTTGGCTGCCAGGCGAACTAAGAAATACAACGAAATCAAGGTAAACGTTTGATGTGCAGGAGGCGGCCAGCAAACAAGCAAAGAGAGCAAGCAAAGGAGCCGCAACCAGGAACAGAAACAGAACCCGCCAACCACGCACAAACCACTTACACAAGGACCTATTCAAATAAGCCACGACCAACTCTCTTCCGGCCAGAAAATGTCGCTCGATGCCACCTCCGCTTCGGGAAGCACGGCACACGTCTCGACAACCTCCATAAGCAACGATGAGCCCCGCGTCGTCTGGTTGAAGACCATCATTGCCAATCAGCTGGGCGTCTTTGATCCCATCTATGTGAACACCCTGATACGACAGAATATGCCCTCCGTAGAAGACTTCTTCCAGCGTCGCTACGAGTCACAGATCAACCTGCCTTACGTGGTCATGTTCTTTTGGCGCACCTTCTATGACAAGCTTATAGAGGAGGAAATCACAGTGCTGGAAGAGGTGCCCCGGCCATCAAAGACCTTATTGCCCGAGAAGAAGGGCAAGGGCAAGAAGAAGGGCGATGGCGGCCGGATGGCAGGTGGCAAGTCTACCGGCAAGGCGGCTGGAGCAGCAGCAGCAGGAAAAGGACGCAAGAAGGGTGGCCAGGATGCGACCAACGAGAATGAGGCAGCTGCCCCAGCGAGTGGCGATCAAGAGCACAACGAGGAAGCCACATATACAGGCGGCGAGACCACAGATGCCGAGGTGGAGGGCGAGATGGAAGGCGAGGAGGAGGCCACCGTTGCTGGCAGTGCCAAGAGCTCAGCTCGATCAAGACGTGAGTAGAATTGATGACCCGGTACAGTTTCTTGACGATATGAATTGATTCAATAATTGAATAATATTAAGAGGGTTTTATAATATCCATAAAGTATGAAAATGTAAGGGGCGTTATTATTAACACTACCTATAATTTAATGGGTTTATTGGATAGATTTTGAATATTTATTAACTACATTTTTTAACAGAAATAAGTACCGGGACTTAGACTTGCCTTTACTGTGTTTTCCCACATACATAACACACACTTTAAACACACTTTTCACTAATTTTTACAGCCAGCTCCGATACGGAAAACGGTAAATATGATGCATGGCTGTACGAGATTTCCTTTGTGCCTGTCCAGAAAAAGATTTTAATTTCAAAGTTTTAGTTTCTGCCCCCTTTTGTTCCTCCTCCATTTCACTCGCCATTCTCCAGTCTTAGCGATGCATAAATTTTTAGCCCGTCCAAACTTAATATCAAACGAAAATCTTGGTCCACACTTTGATTCGCGCTGCCCACTTCACATCATAAATATTTATGGGCCTCATTTTCGTTGGCCCAAGCTGAAATTCGTTTCTTTTGTAACTTTTAATTTGAAACTGCTCGGCGGAAGGAGCCGCAGAGCGGCAGAGCGTCAGCGGAGCCAACTCATTTGATTCCGCATTGCCTGTCCCAGAGATAGGAGCAAAGTTTCGCCGGCTCATTCATTGCATTCAAATGGAGAAGCCAGAGCTAGTTGCCACAATGCAAATTCCACCGCCACTGCACTTTGTTCCGTCCCATCAATCTCAATCACAATCACAGTCGTAATCGCGGCGCTCCATTCGCCAGCTTCATTTTGACACGCCCATTTCGCACCCCGCTAATGCACCGCATCCTGCCTCCTTTTCTCCCGCCAAAAGGAGGCCGCAAGAAGAAGAAGGCGCCCAGCTATGTGCCGGTCTACGTGGAGGTGAAGGTGAGCACAGAAGACGTTCTTAACTGAAAGAAGTTTTTAGCCAAGCAAATTCAAATTCAAATAAAAATAAAATAAATCTCTAAACATAATAATAAATTACAGAAACTTGTACCTGCGTATGTGAAGACGCCACAACTGCACTGCCACTTTGGGGAAATGCAGTCCGAGGACCTCGACCCAAAAATAAAATACGTCTACATAACAAGGAAGGAAAGAAGGGAGATTCGTAAGTAGAACTTAAAATTAAAAAAATATTAAAATAAGATATGGAATTAAAAAAAAAGAGAAACTAGAACCTTTATTCAAAAAGAAGGGAAAATAACTTAGGCCAAAGTTAGCTTCCTAGCTTCAAAAAATGTTTCTAAAATTTCTAGAACGCCGAAAATATTCTTTAAAAGATTCCAGTTCAAACGCTTTTATGGCTTCTCTTTTATAACCCATCAATTTTGTCATCCTTGTAATTTGTAAACCTTAATGTCCTTTCAGCGTGGTTCGATGATGTACAGAGATGCTTTGCGGAAATGCCGCTGTACTTCCTGATTGGCACTGTGCGAGGGTCACTTATCAACTCACTGCGCGACGACTTAAACCTGGTAAGCCTCCAAGGTCCGGAGACCCGGACAGTCCGCCGTAATCGGACATTAAAAGACGCATCAGTAATTCGGCGAAAACCAAAATCACTCAAATTTGCACCCGATTCGCTCATTTCACACACCATAAACCGTTGTTTAATCAATCAACGACTTTAAGGCCATCTCCCATTGTTTCAAGCCTTCTCACTCGTCCAACCATTCGTCCGCTTGTCCTTCCCGGATGTCCTTCCCCCGTCCCGGGGTCCATTCTCCAACCGCAAAAACAAAATGTTGTGACGAATTGTAATTAATTCCCGAAACAAGGCAGTCATCTATCAAAATGCCCGCTGTGCCGCAAGATTTTTCCGCTTCACTGAGCGGCTCTTGAAGCTTTGGCGGTTGGATTTTCTGGTGTTTCGGGCTGGGAGGGGTGTTTTTAGGGGGCGTGGCATCACGCCTACTGAACCGAGCCTTGAGCGGTGACCGCCAACGCAAATTGCTTCATCATAGCCCCCGAAAATGGTCTGCGGTTTCCATTAGGCTGCCGCCCAAGACGCGGCCTTGCGAATTCTGCGGTCCGCTGCCATAATATTAGCTTAGCATGAAAATAAATTGGAAAATTTTTGCCCAAAACTCTGTTTTTTCGGGCAGGCGAATCAATTAGAAAGTCTGCACAGACCGCAAGGCCCGCAGCCCCAGGCACTCCAACTTTGATTCCATTGTACATATGCAACACCATCTCCATTGCAGGTTTACAGCAAAGCCATTCAATATCAATTTCGCGAACCGGCCACAGCGGACAGCCAGCAAATGGACAGTTATGAGGGGCAAACTGGTGGCAGCGGCGGCGGAGCGGGCGATGCCGGCGAGGATATATCCAGCGAGGCCAAGGAATCGGGACCGGGTCTATTGGAGCTATCCAAACCATCGGAATTTCGTTTGAGAGCGCTTAAAGAACAAAAGTATTTAACTTTTAACAAAGGCAGGACGAGCGGCATTCGCTGCTCCGCTGGCTTCCAGCCCCCTTCCTCCGATTGCAGATACGTGGAGCGCTGTTGGAGGGCTGCTGCTACTCCCGCGCTTTATTGGTTTCCAACTGCCGGAGTGGAGAGAGTGACTGGCTCCGATTGTGAATGTGGGCTTTCTTTTTTCTCCGGCTCCGGCTCCGGCTCCCTTTCTGTTTCATTTTTTCCTCGATTTTTTTCGGTGCAAATTTTCTGTTTGCCTTTGTTTTGCGTTTATCGCTGGTTACCATCGCAGCAGCCACAGTTGCCTTTTTTATCCTGCCGCTCCTGCAGAACCCTTTTCGCACATAAATTACAGCGCATCCGATAAGAAATTTTTATTTTTAATCGGATTTCATGCTACCATCAGTGGCGCGGCGCCACCATCGCCGTTGTCGTCGCTCTGTGTTGTCTTCTGGCCATTTTTCCATTTGTTTGGCAGGCAGCATTTATGGCACATCCTGGCGCGCCTCATTCATCCTTGCATTGGCCTCTCATTGCCGCCTCGCGAATGGCGAATGCCACTTGACCGTAACTGTTAAAATTTTCCCCCTTTCATTTCGGGTTTATTTTATTTTTTCTTGCTGTTTTCGCTTTTCGAGCCTCTGCAGATTAAAAAATGCCAACGTAGTCGGAGCCCGGAGCCGGAGCCCGAAGCCCAGAGTTGGGTCCTTCCTTGTCGACGCCCGTGTCCAGCGGAGTAGCCTTTGTAACGCTTTGTTGTCCGGAGGCCCCTCGTATTTGGTGCTCATTTTGCTTATCGGAGGAGCCTTTCATTACGCTTTGTGTTAATTTTGCATGCCGGCCGCCGTTAATTGTGTTTGTTTGTTTATTTGCCACTCCTTCTGCTCCTTTTTTTGTTCTGCGGCAGGAAGAAGAAGGAGATGGAGGCGGCGGCCAAAAAGGCGAAGGCCAAGAAGCCGGAGGCACAGCCCGAGGAGGAAGAGGAATCCCAGGGAGATGCTGTGATTGCGGCCCACTTGTCGTCCTCCGAAGAAGAAGGTAAGTGCATAAATCAATCAAAAAGGGAGTACTTTTTATCATAAATTTTGGGAAAAGAATTTTGTTTATCTTTTATAATTTTAAATCAATTTTACAGTTCATTTTAAAAAGGATTAAACAATTATTAATTATATTTGTTTTATTTATTTGCAGTCGTAGTCAAGGCCGAGAAGCTGACCATCGCCCAGCGCTGGGAGAAGATGCTCAGCGAGACAAAGGCCAAGGTGGAGGCCGAGCATGCCGCCGAGGAGGCCACACCGCCGCGCATTACGCCCATCCAGAGGCGGATACTCCAGGAGATCGAGGACTTCCAGAGCGAAATCACGTGGACCATCAACCACATCGTCTGGGCATTCAGTCTGCCCTCGTCCTACATACTGCCAGGTCAGGAGGAGACCGAGTTCGAGGACGCCATCATCCGGGTGCCCGTGGACCCGAAGAGGATGGATCTGGTGATAACGTACACCCAGCAACAGCTGGAGGAGGTGGTCGACGGCTGGATTAAGTACCTCAAGAAGACCATGAAGGCCCTGACTGACGCCAAGCTGGACGACTTTACGCCGATGGCCGAGTACCGCTATTGGCACAAGATGGAGGTGGAGCTCTACGGAACGCTGGAGCAGCTGAAGACGGAGTTTGTGCTGGCCGTGCTGCAGCGTTTGGAGGACGACAAGTCACCGGTTTTGGTCGAGTGGCAAAAAATTCTCGAGACAACAGAGGCCAGGTTCAAGTTGGCCAAGGAGAACTCCGATTATCTGGGCACCATTACGGATTATCTGGAGGTGAGTATTGTATTTATTATTATTTTGGGTTATATACTTATACTTAGTTTTCCTTAATTTTGAAAAGTTTAATGTTACTTTAATTTTGTTCCTTCATTTCGAAAATGTGTAGATTAATAATTGCCAAATGACAGTTAAATTTGACATATCGAAAATTAGCCACAGTGTTGTAGAAACATTACTGCAACCCTGAAGTACAGATTTTTATTTTATTAGAAAATCATTAAACAATATACCAGTTTATTTTTATAGTTATTTAATTATATTAAGAATAAGAAAATATATTAGTTATATTATTCTATTGTTAGTAAGCCCTTTAGTTTAAACAAATCTACTTATGATATATTTAAGAAAGGTTAGAATTTTGATAGTTTTCCGAACTTTGCAACACTGGTTCGCCAAGTAACTTATCGTTTTCGGAACCGGAAACCAGGGTCTCTATAATTTATCGATTTACAAGTTAACGCCAGATTATTTTATATATCTTTTTATTCTCCCTAATTATAGAAAGTGCGCAGCTATGAGAGCTTCAAAATGGTGGTGCTGCAGATACCCAATATCATGGTGGGTCTGCGGCACATCTGGACCATGTCCAGCCACTTTTGCCGCGATCCCGAGATGCAGGTCCTGCTCTGCCAGATCTCCAATGTCTTTGTCCAGAAGGTGAAGGGCATCATCAACTTTGAGAATATTTTTAAGTAAGTAAAACGCAGAGTCTTATTTGTACTATTTATTTACTTTTTGATCTTATTTTACAAACAGATACTCCGCCACATACACCCACGAAACGGCCACCAACTGCGCCAACCTGCTGCGCTGCTGGAAGCAGGCCTACAAGCTGAGTCGCCAGCACATCGAGGACTCGGGGGCTGGCTCCCGCTGGGAATTCGACAGCGTGGCCCTCTTCAACGAGGTGAATCACATCCACCGCGTGGCCGTGGACATTGCCTATGTGGGAAGAGTGTTTGTCCAGTATGAGAATCTCTTTGGGCACCGGCTGAAGGCCTGCATTGGGGACCCCTCGATAGTGGACAATCTGATGCGCAAGGTATACCGCATGCTGGACGATCTGATCAAGAGCGTGGACTATGACATGTTCAGGCCGGGGAACTGGGAGAACTGGGAGTACTCGCTGGAGCAGTTCAACAAGCGGCTGGAGAGCGTGGAGAATGAGGCCAAGAACGTGATTGACCAGAGCATCAACTCGTTGCTGTCCTCGGAGAAGGGTCTGGACCTAGTCATCAATGCCATGAACATCGATACTAGGCAGGCTCTGCAGGAGTTTGTGGCCACAAAGCATGAGAATCTCCTGCGCTTCTTTGTGACTGAGATTAATACCGTTGACCGGGTTTTTACGGTGGGTTTGAGTATCTTTACTTTTCATGATTGCAATATTAATATGTATTTAATATCTACAGAAACTGAAAAAGAGCCCGCCCATGGCCAAGCACCAGCCGGCCAAGATTAGTGCCATATTTTGGACACGCTTGCTGGGCAAGAAGCTTAAGACCTCCGTGCTGGCATTCAAGCGGGTGGAGGATGAGCCGGCCATTGCCAACAGCTTCCTGAAACGCACCTCCTTCAAGCAGTACTTCGAGCTGATGACCACTATGTTCCAGTTCGAGAAGGTTCTCTTCGATAACTTTATACAGAATGCCACCTACATGGTGAACACAGCGAACCGCTCCAACATCCTCAGCATTGGCATATGCAAGGAGGCCACAAGTGGGTTTTAGTGCTAATAATTTGATGATAGAGAATAACTCTTGCTAATGTGACCCACAGTGAACTACATTTCCGAGTCCATCCAAACCTTAAAAGCCAAGCCACGGGAAACTATGAGCGGCGGTGATGAGCCTCGCAAGGCACCAAGCCTGAGATCCGAAGGCTCCGAAGGCTTTAGTGTCTTTAGCTCTATAGAGTCGGCCAGTCAGTCCGGATCCTCGTCAGAAGACGATGCCCTGCTGGTGGGCGACACCTCCCAGAAGAAGCTGATGTGCCGCATCAACAAGCTCACCGTGCTGGTGGCCATGATCATGTGGATGGTGAGCAACACCCGGAAGGCCAATAGGCAGCTTCAGGAGTGCATCAACTTTATAAAGTTTGTCAAGGACAAGAGACCCAAGGATGTCACTGCCTTTGATAAGCACTGCGTTAGGAGCTGCGAATGTAAGTCTTGGTATACCGGAAACTATCCATCTACCTACTGTTGCTTTTTTGTTCTTTTTTCTAGTGCTCCAACGAGCCGAGTCCCAGTACCTGTTGCCCATTTGGCGCGAGCTGGTTGGCGACAAGACCCTTATCGAGTTCGACATGGACTTCAGGGTGAACCTTAAGCGGGAGGTGTTCGACACCCTGTTTGAGGCCCAGCAGTTCGAGCACCTGGGCTTCACGCTGCCCGCGGTGCTGCGCACGGCGATCATGAAGAAGGAGCTGCTCTTTAAGGACTACGAGCGAATGACCCAAGTGATCGATCGGTACAAGGCGATCATCAATAACCTGTCCATTTCCGAGGTGATCTTTCTGCGCGGCCACATCTACGACACGGAACTCTTCATCCAAATGGGTGTGGGTCGGTACACCTGGACGTCCTTTAACATTGGCAAGTTCTGCGATCAAATCAACTCTCAGCTGCGCAAGCTCACGTCCATAGTGTCCCAAATCAACTTCATTCGCCTCGATCTGCGGTCGCGCATCGATATGATCAAGAGCTTCAACCTGTTTAATTTGGATGAGGAAATGGTGGTGGACAGCGGCGAACCGCGCGCCTCACCATCGGAGAGCATTCAAGACCGAAAATCCATGCAGAGATTTAAATCGGCGACTGGCGAGAGTGTGACGGTTTTTACCGTGGAAAAAGAGGCCCAGGCCGAGGAAAAGGGGGAACATTCATGCGGCCAAAAGGTGTATCCCTGCCAGGACTACTTTGAGATCCTGGAGGCTTCGCGGAATCGCAAGGCGGCGCAGATGAAGAAGCTGTACGACTCCCTGGGTCCGGTGCTGATCAAGCTGGAGAGTCTGGTGCTGGGCACATTTTCGGGCCGATCGGACCGCATGAAAACCTACTACGAGTACTGGGAAGAGGAGACCTTCAAGTGCATTGTCGAGTGAGTAAAGGTTGCGAGATGTAAATATTACCTCGTAAATGAAATCCCTTTTGGCAGCATGACCTATGCCAATCTAAAGTGTTATATTGGCCGCCTCCTCTCGGATCAACCCATGTTCGAGGTGAATGCGGCTTTGCTGATGTCGGAGATTGTCCTAGAGCCATCGGTGCAGGAGCTGCAGCACACTATTGTGAGCGCCTGCAAGGATTATATATCGCGGTGAGTTGAGGGGAAATTAAACCAAGCGCAGCTTTAACTTGAACTCATTCAGCTTGAGGATCTTTACGCGCTGGATGACCAGCACTTGCATAGCCGTTCCTCCGGTGGAAATGGGCAAGCAGTTCAAGTACAACTACACCTACTACGAGGACGTTATCCAAATAAAGTCCATTGTGGAGCTGGTTATAAATATCCACGAATTGGCCATACGAATCGCCGGTGAGGCCAAGGGCTTTGTATCCCAGTGAGTATATAGTTATCCATCAAGTCATAGAGATTAAGACATCACCTTGTAGATTCCGCAAGTACTTCAATCTGTGGGCGTACGAGAAGAGCTTCATATGCCAAAAGTTTGTGGAGAAACAGGTGACGCTCATGGAAATCGATGAGAAATTTACATTTTACTCGTCCATCGTGGAAACCCTGGACACCCTGCCCAAGTACCAGGACGTCAAGTGTGTGCGCATAAATTTGCAGCCATTGCTGGATAGCATAACGCAACATGCCAAGGACTGGTGCACCACGCTGGGCGAGGAGCTGCTGCGCCATGTCAACGACAACATGAGGGCAATGCGTAACGAAATCAAAGTGAGTCCTGGACCCAGCTAGCTAGATTTTCTCCCACTAATCTGTGCAAATCTGCGGCAGACCCTTAGCCTGAATCTCAACAAGACCACACGTGAGCTGGAGGACTTCAAGCTGGTCATGCAAACCATTGCCACAGTGCAGTCGACGACGCTGACCAACGAGCAGAAGATACACGAAATGCAGGAGACATTCACCATTCTGAGCGAGCATACGATATTGGTGAGGCAGGATTTAAAATTTCTCTTTCGGGTAGCTGCATTTTCCCCCAAAATCCAATCCTCCTAAGAGCCCCACATCCCCTCGGTTTAATGACAGTTGCTTAAGTCTGCCACCAATGACGCTTATTTGTGTATTCAAATGAGCAGTTTTACAAAAATCCCATCGGAATCCCGTCCGAACTGCGACTGCCGCTGTTTCTATTTCTGTTTACATATGCATATTTGGCGGTCGGTCTGGCAGGACCATTTGGAAATGGCTTTCCGCTTTCCGCTTTCGGCGGACTCCCCACAAATGGTTACGTAAATGCAGCCAGACCAGAGTCCAGATTAGGACCCAACCAAACAGAGCAGCCAACTCCTACGTCCTGCGTGCTGGCCTTTTTGGGTCTGCTCCCTTCCGTTCGCCCCGTTACGGTCCGTTCATTTATTGATGGCATTCCGTTGCGGCGGCGACGTCGCTTAGCTTTGGCCAGACAAAACGGAATTAACTTGCATTTTATATAAATTAATGAACGAATGAATGCAAGCAGCCAGGCACAGAAACACAGCGGCAGATACAGATATGGTCGTTGAAATAGTTTTAAGTTATTTATACTTTAACATTTTATTTAAGGGATTTTTGAAAGAGATTTAAAGATAAAAAAAAGCAATCTTATAGCGTATACCTTCCCTTAGATTTTACATTTATTTAATATTTTAATAATAACTCTATAGTTTACCCTCACCTTCTCTTAGCTTTTAAACATTTAAATTTCCATTTTAAATTTATTTAATAGTTAAACTTGATATTTTACCCTCACCTGTGCGTATTGGCATTGCAAATGCTGCAAAGGCCAAATGAAAATTTATGCGGTGTCGGCCCTGAAAGCTTTAACAGTGCTATAGTTTTTTTTCTCTGTGGACTCTGAGGGTTAAGGGCTGTGGGTTACGGGTTACGGGTTACGGGTCGTCGGATTAAGGGGGCGGACCCGCCCGAACACCACGCTTCGCTGGTCGTTAGTGAATTTCGGCACTTTTCATGATTATTATTTGCACTCAGCGGTAATTGAAGGGCACCGACTGCCTTTGCTTAATTTTTATGTGCGTTTCACTTATTTGCACTCGGTATTCAATTCCCCAACTCCCATTGCAGTTCCCCTACGAGGATTTGCTGATGGCCCACCACCTGGAGAAGCGTTGGAAGCGGCTGTTCCTGTCGGCCCTGTACCGCTCGGAGAAGCTGCAACCAATTAAGCAAAAATTCGCCGACATGACTTCCGTTGAAATCGATGAATTCTGCGATGATGTAAGTTGTCAGAGAAAGGGGATGGTCCTCGGGCAATGGGATTAGTCCTGCCGACTTTGCATTTCCGCTATTTTGCGTTCTTTCTCTGCAATTCTGTTTTGTTTCCTCCCATTATTATTTCCTTTCAATGGCATTTTAATTGGATTTTTCCGCGCGCTCAACCATTATTGTCAATTGTTAGCGGCGGCGACGACGACGACGTCGGCGCTGTCGTCAGCGCAAAATGAATTAACTTGAAGTGTTTATCATTTGAATTAGGACGCAAGACGGATGTGGTGGGGTGGCCGCGTATCCTGCTCCTGCACTAACCGGCTTTCTCTTCTCTTCCTTTAGCTGGGAGACTTTATCAAGGATTATGATGAAAACGGCCCAGGATCCGTGGGTCCTGAGCTGGAGCGCGGCGTGCGGCTAATGGATCCATATGGTCAGAAAATAGCCGAGCGGGAGGCTCGTCGGGAGGAGCTGGCCAATGCGGAGCGACTCTTCGACATGCCCATGGTGGACTACCATGAGTTTTCGCGAGTGCAAACCGAGTATGAGGGTCTAGAGCAGGTCTATATATAACAAATATCATCCAGAAGATCACTTCAATTTGTATGTTATATCCCATCCCTACAGCTGTACAAACTGTACAAGGCACAGAAGTTCGCTCGCGAGGGCTGGGGCAAGACCCTGTGGGCCGACCTGGATCCCAACGTGCTGACCGAGGGCGTTGAGAGCTATCTGAAGGAGTTCCGGAAATTGACCAAGCCGGTAAGCGTCTTCAGGGGGAAAACTTTGCCAATTAAACAAAGTTTTCGGCCTGCTTGGATTTTCATAAAATTACAGACGCCTCAGAACAACAAAAGCAGAGTACTTTTGAACTGTGAACTCGCCATGAAAGGCGTTTCACGAAGGCTTTGTTTATGCTTGAAGCATGTTGGGACTTTTCGAAAATATTACACAATTTTGAAATACTAGAAAAAACTCAGGGGTTTTTAGGTTGAATTTCTTACCCAACTAGCTTGACCTTTCATATTTAAATACTTTTGCTGGGTATCGCACATTCCTTTACCCCGACTTTATGGTCATGCCTCGAGCTTTACTTAAACAAGAAATGTGAATTTTCTGGCCACGCCTTGCAGCGACAGAATTTTGCACCTAAACTGATTATGACAAATTGATTTATTTACTTCACTAACAAGTTTTTGAGGAATTTCGCTGGCCGGGCCAAAAGTTTGTTGCAGTCGAAAAGTTTTCGCCTTTCGCCCATACCAAATGAAGTGGGCGTGTTTCCCCTGGGACTGGGATTGGAACTGGGATTGGGAAAGGCATTTCAGCTAGGTAGTGAGACCCGGCAGAGGGAAAGATTAGTTTGGCAAATATTTCAAAGCGCTACGATTAATATAAATAGCGGCGAGGATGCCAACAAATTTGAATATAATCACACGGCACACGCACATATTTTAATGCAGTTTTATCTGTGCATAATTTCGGCTGGCAGCACAACAGAGGCCCTAAAGCAAACTACTGAAAGGCTCTACATAATCAGCGTCCTAAAATGTAAATCAATTTGTTCAATATTGAAAATAATTAAAATGCCAGCGGGATGCAGCACTTTTCCCCTCTCCTCGAGTCCGGCCATCGACTTGTTGACAGTCCTGTGTTGCCGTTGCTGCTGTTGTTGCCATTCAATTTATGTCCCTGAATGGGTCCGGAGTGCCATGCATTTTCCATAAGCAAACAAACGGACAGCCCGACATGCAAACAGAATGCGCTTTTTGGCCAACAGCAACAGCAACAGCGATGGCAGCGGGCAGCTAAAACACAACCGAAACCAAAAACCACCGGCCACAGGGACGCACGTTCGTCATAATTCAAATGGGGACGCAACCGCAGGCGGCAACCACATTATTGTTTCAGCTGATTTTGAGCAGCTAACTAACCGTGCCCCCAATTCCCGACAGGTGCGCACCCTTCCAGTTGGCGGGCAGCTGGAGATTCACATGAAGCAGTTCAAGGGCACCGTGCCCCTGATGGTGAGCCTCAAGAACGAGGCCCTTAGGGAGCGCCATTGGCTGCAGTTGATGGAGAAGACCGGCCAGTATTTCGACATGTCACCGGCTCGCTTTACGCTGGAGAACATGTTCGCCATGCAGCTGCACAAGTACCAGGACATTGCCGAGCAGATCCTCACCAATGCCATCAAGGAGCTGCAGATCGAGCGCGGTGTTCAGGCTGTGGTGGAGACCTGGGCGAACATGTCCTTCAAGACGTTTAAGCACTACAAGGGCGCTGAAGATCGCGGCTGGGTGCTGGGGCCGGTGGATGAGATCATGCAGATACTGGAGGATAATGCCATGAATCTGCAGTCAATGGGAGCAAGTCAGTGAGTATTTCCCATTCTTAAATTTCTATCCTAGTTTGGCTAACTCCTTTTAACTTCTAGGTTCATTGGTCCCTTCCTGGAGACTGTAAACAAATGGGAGCGCACCTTGGCCCTCATCTCGGAGATCATTGACGAGTGGCTGCTGGTCCAGCGCAAGTGGCTCTACCTGGAGGGGATTTTCATAGGCGGCGATATACGCACCCAGCTGCCGGAGGAGGCGCGGAAATTTGATGACATTGACAAGGCATATCGCAGGGTGAGAACTACACAGAACCTTGGATTCGCGAATTGGCAATCCTTGCTATTTGCTTATTCTGGTTGCTTGGGTTTTGGGTATTAGGTATTTGGAGAAGCCGAAGGCCAGAATACACACTTAGTGTCTGCTACAATTTATTCGAGTTGATTTAATGTGTGCCGACAATATGGCGACTCCTTACTTAACGGTAAACATAATACGCATGCAAACGACTGCTTTTGTGTATGCGTAATTGTGTTGCCGCACACACACACACACACATCACTGGTTTGGAATCACACGCGTTGTGGCACACATCACACATACGCAACGTAAGCCGAAGCTGTGTTTACAAACGCCAAGCACTTTCACCTTCCACTACTGCCTGCTTCCCAAACCAATCTGCTTGGTTGTGCGAGTGTGGATAGGTTTGAGTGTGTGTGTGTTTGTGCCAGGCGCTTAGCTTCACTTAACCTTGCCAGCCACTGGCTTCGTTCGTTTGCTTTACGTTTCATTTGTAACATTTGCCGCCATATTTGATGCCATTTGTGAAATGATTTATTATTTTGATTTGCTCTCGACATTCGTGTTAAGTTCCCAATACCCTCAAGTAGGAGAGCTACTCCTGCTCGACTTGACAGGCTTTAGGATCCTTAAACTGTAGTGCCATTTAAAGCCCCCCAATTTGTAGTTGATTGTTTAGTTTGTTTTCCAAATTGACAGATTTATTGATTGTTATTGTATATATGTATATGGCATAAATTTTAGTTTGTAGTTGGAGCAGAAATGATTATTTGATTATCTTATTATTCCATAAATTAGAAATCAATTAGGAGGATATGAAATTATGGGAATTTATTGAAAATTATTTATAATTAATATTTTGAATTACATTTTAGGATTGTATAATTGTTATTTATTGTTCTAATAATTTTTCCACACTTTCTAGTCTCTTGATCTATTTAAATTTGTATAAATATATATGTATATATTTTTAAAGAGCATCTTAGATGCAGCCTTACCCCGATTCAACCTCTCTCCACTTTCCTCTAATATGTTTGATTGTATTTGGGTTGGTCGTTGCGCTCATTGCTCTTCATAATAATTTACTGCCTTGACTGGCGCTGCCGCTCACCACTCACCACTCACCACTCGCCACTTCCTGCTTCCTGATTCATCTTCCTCTTCCATTGCAGATCATGGTCGATTGTGCCAAAAATCCGTTAGTGGTGCCATTCTGCTCAGTTCCCGGCCGCTTACCGGAAATACAAGGTCTGGGCATTGGCTTGGAAAAATGTCAGAAGTCGTTAAACGAATATTTGGACTCGAAACGCCGCATTTTTCCGCGTTTCTATTTCATATCCACCGATGAGCTGCTCTCCATCCTGGGCAGCAGCGAGCCATCTGCAGTGCAGAACCACATCATTAAGGTGGGTACCGCTTCAAGTTCTTGTGGGCGGCGTTTTCGGTTTTTCGGGTATGGATTTTGGGTGTGGATTCGGTGGCTTGGTGTGACAACAACAGATTTGCCAAACTGCCAGTGACATTATTTTTATGTACGACGGGGCGTGTGTGTGTGGAGAAGCCACTTGCCATAAAAGTTAATGTCACTGTTTATTCGTTCTGGCCAATGTCCACGGCGGAAATTACACCAATTTCTGCAGCACATGCATGGGCACAGACCCCGGGTCGGTCGGAGGTCTTGGAGCGGTGGTAAATTTTTATGAATTTATTCGGCTTATAAATAATATTTCTCCGCATCCGCACTCTCATTGATTTTGCAATTTTCATTTTACTTGCCGCCCGCAGATGTACGACAATATCAAGTCGCTGCGCCTGGTCAAGGAGGGCAGCCAGACGATTGTTACCGCCATGATTTCCAGCGAGGGCGAGGTCATGGAGTTCCGGCGAAGCGGTAGGTACCGGGCCAGGCCAATCCAGCATCCACGCACTGATTGCCAATTTTAAAATTGAACTTTTTTATGGCAATATTGTCTGCTGGCTGGCACTGACTGCCGGTGCTGACTGGCCTGACTGGCCTGACTGGCCCGCCTGAATCTGGCCAATTTCTTTTAATTAATTTGAAGCCAGTTGGCATCGGCATTGGGCATCAGCATGGCTGGAGATGATTGCTTGTTCTGCTCTTATTGCCCCGTCCCGCATTTTATTGTTGTTGTATACACTTATTGATATTGGCAACTGGGGTTTATTTATGCGGTTATTGTCTTTTCCTTTCTCCCATCTCCCATCTCCCAGCCCGGGCGGCGGGTCGCGTGGAGTACTGGATGAACGATGTGCTGGACGAAATGCGTCGCTCCAACCGCTTCATAAACAAGACGGCCATCTACGACTTTGGCACAGATCTGCAAATTGCAAGGTAAGTGCCACCGTCAGCTGGGCATAAAACATATTTTATGCCTCCTGCTCCGGCTTCGGCTCTTGTTCCGGCTCCTTTCATTCGCATCCTTCGTCCCTGGGCGGAGTGACACTTCGGCAGCCAATTCCTTTTATGGCCGGCGATTTACATTGCGGCATTCGAACTGAGCGCTGAGCCAGTACCCACTCCTGCCCTCGGACTGTATAATTTTGTCATTTCGCGCGATTTATTATTTTGTTTAAGCCGTGGAGCGCACGGCCGGGCATATTTATGGCCAATTGTATTAAATTGACAGTCATTGGGCACTTTCGATTTTCCTTTGACTCTGTTTTTGTTCTCCAGGCCCGACTGGCTAATGAACTACCAGGGCATGGTGGGCCTGGCGGCCAGTCAAGTCTGGTGGACCGCCGAGGTGGAGGAGGCCTTTGACCAGGCCCAGAACCATGGCAACATGCGAGCCATGAAGGATTTTCTGGCCAAGAGCAACTACCAGATTGAAGAGTTGGTCTTGAAGGTGCGCTCCAATTTGTCGAGGAATGATCGACTCAAGTTCAAGGCCCAGTGCACCGTGGATGTCCATGCCAGGGACATCATCGACAACTTTGTGCGCGACAATGTCCTGGACGCCGCCGAGTTCAGCTGGGAGAGCCAGCTGCGCTTTTACTGGGTCAAGTTCTATGACAACCTGCACGTTCTGCAGTGCTCAGGCAGCTTTGACTTTGGATACGAGTACATGGGTCTGAATGGCCGCTTGGTCATTACTCCGCTCACGGATCGCATCTACCTGACCATCACGCAGGCTCTGCTCATGAATCTGGGCGGAGCCCCAGCAGGACCTGCTGGCACGGGTAAGACTGAGACCGTCAAGGATCTGGCCAAGGCCATGGGCTTGCTCTGTGTGGTCACCAATTGTGGCGAGGGCATGGACTACCGAGCGGTGGGCACCATTCTCTCGGGTCTGGTTCAGTGCGGCGCCTGGGGATGCTTCGACGAGTTCAACCGCATCGACATCTCGGTGCTTAGTGTGATATCCACGCAGCTGCAGACCATAAGGAACGGTTTAATAAGGAAACTGGAAAGGTTTATGGTGGGTTTGAAAATTTTACTTCAAAGGGAATTTTAAATAAATTGTTTTTTCAGTTCGAGGGCGTTGAGATCAAGCTGGATCCCAAGTGCGGTGTCTTTGTGACCATGAATCCTGGCTACGCTGGCCGCACAGAGCTGCCCGAGTCTGTGAAGGCCCTCTTCCGCCCGGTGACCTGCATCAAGCCCGATCTGGAGCTGATCTGCTTAATCTCCTTATTCTCCGATGGATTCCTTACGGCCAAGGTGCTGGCCAAGAAGATGACCGTGCTGTACTCCCTGGCCCAGGCTCAGCTGTCCAAGCAATGTCACTACGATTGGGGTCTGAGATCGCTGAACTCCGTGCTGCGAATGGCGGGCGTGATGAAGCGCCAGTCGGAGGATCTGCCCGAGGCCGTGGTGCTGATGCGGGTGCTGCGCGACATGAACTTCCCCAAATTCGTGTTCGAGGATGTGCCACTGTTCCTGGGACTCATCAAGGATCTGTTCCCGGGCATTGACTGTCCGCGTATCGGCTACCCGGACTTTAATGCTGCCGTGCGTCATGTCCTGGTCAACGATGGCTATGTCCTGCTGCCCGATCAGGTGCGTCCCAGTGTCCTGTGTCCCTGTGTCCTGCCCTGTCACTGCCGTGTGTGTTGTGTGTGTGTGTGTGTGTGTGTGTTGACAGTGGCAACAAACCATAGTCGGCCATGTCACTCTTCCGGTCGTCACTTTGACACTTTGTAAATTGCGCCATGTCGCATAATCGCAAATGAAGGAAATGTTACAAAGCATTTTGCCCGGCTGGCCGGCCCCACATCCAATTTCAACTTTGCCCTGCTCCGCAGCCTGAGCTCTGACAATTTTCACTAATACAATTTTCCATTTCTTGTACTCTCTCTCTCTCTCTGCCCTCCTCCATCTACGCCGTTCACGGACTCCTGGCAAAATCCTTGCCACTTTCATCAAACAAAATGTTGGCCCATCGCCCGCTCGGCTCCTGCCGGAAATGGACAACTGCTGGACATGCGATGTCACCCTGCTGGCCATGCTTACGCTGCTGCTTCTGCTCCTGCCCTCGCTTTTGGTCCTGCTGGGCAACATCATTTATGACAACTAAATCCCAACAACGGTAACGCCTTCGCCCTCACCATCGCCCTCGGCAGGAGGACAAAGTAGTGCAAATGTACGAGACCATGATGACCCGACACTCGACCATGTTGGTGGGCCCAACAGGTGGCGGGAAGACTGTCGTCATAAATGCCCTGGTCAAGGCGCAGATCTACATGGGCCTGCCCACCAAGTGCATTGTGCTTAACCCCAAGGTAAGTGGGCCCTCTGAACCATCCCCTAAATCCACCCAGGCGCACAAATTGCCGCCCCCTGCGAGCGCTTTTAGTTTCCTCTTATTTTGCAGTCCGCTTTCTTGTCCGGCTTGTCCTTTATGAGCTTTAGGGGCAGGTCCTTTGCTCCGTCCTGTCTTCAAATTGCACTTCTCTCGCTCGCTTTGTGTCCCTGTGTGTGTTTTCGCATTTCGTTTTTGCAAATGTGAGATGTTAAGTGCTTGTGAAATTGTTCAATTGCTTGGCCTGTAATTAGTTGAGTTGCAATATTGGAACGCCAGGATACGAGCAATTCCCAGGCAATCAAACTTCAATCCAAGCATTTGACCATTGGCGAAGCATCTGCTAGAAAGTTTTTCCTGCCTGGCTTATTATTATATTTTCCCCTTGGCAGGCCTGTTCTGTCATTGAATTATACGGATATTTGGACATGGAAACGAGGGATTGGATTGATGGATTGTTTTCAAATATATTCCGTGAAATGAATAAGCCGATCGAGCGTGAGGTAAGTGAGAGTCGTTTTTGGGGTGGGATCAGGAAGGGAGCCAGACACCTGGGCTCACCTGGGGGGTTCAGAAAAAATGGAGTCGTGCCAGTCCCACGTGAATTAAAGTGCTGCATCAGCGAATCCGAATCCACCAGCATCCCGGCTCTGTATCATTTTGGCTGGTGGCTCCTCAAATGCAGGTGCTTGGTGGCGCACCGGCATCATTCATGCGGAAATCGCGTTCGTAAAGTAATAAGCCGGGATTGCATAACCACCAGTTTCGGGGTATATGCATTTCTTTGAAAAGGATTAAATAATTTATAAAAATATTTAATTATAATTTTAATTTAAAAATCTGGGTAGAGATAAAGCATTTACGTTTAAAGTTTAGTCAAATATAATTTTTCAGATCATTAAAGGCTGTTTTTTGACTTTATGAAATATTATAATAAATAGTATATACTTTTAATATATTTCTTAAATAAAATTCATTACTTATAAAAAGTTTCCAACCTTTAAAGACAAATTAAATCATTAAAACAGCTTTAAAGAGATCTAGGGTTTTGCGATTTCGGCTTGCCTTTTTTTACTATACCGACTGCTGCCCTCCTGTCCTCGCGTTTGAACCCATTTATTCGGCTCTGCAGGGTAATCATTCGTGGGTGGCAGGGTGGCAGTCACTCCGGTGACTCCGGTGACAGGCGTTGTGTAACGCACTTAGGCTAATGCAACCCCACACCATCTCCATTTACTTCCCCACCGCAGGAGCGACGCTATGCCTGCTTCGATGGCGATGTGGATGCCCTGTGGATCGAGAACATGAACTCTGTGATGGATGACAACAAGCTGCTGACACTGGCAAACGGCGAGCGCATCCGTCTGGAGAACTACTGCGCCCTGCTCTTCGAGGTGGGCAACCTGAACTATGCCTCGCCAGCGACGGTCTCCCGTGCCGGCATGGTGTACGTCGATCCCAAGAATCTGCGCTACAGTCCGTACTGGCAGCGCTGGGTGCTCACACGGCCGGAACCGCAGCGCGAGCTGCTCAATGACTTTTTCGAGAAGATCATAAACCAGGCGATAGGCTTCATCCTGGAGGGTATTGACGGGACCACACAGGGCAATCCCCTGAAGCTGGTCATCATGCAGACGGACCTCAACATGGTCACGCAGTTCTGCAACCTGTACGACGCCCTGCTGCCCAACTTCGGGCCCGGGGACGGCAAGAACTTCGATGAGCCGGTGCCACAGGTGTACAACACGGACACGCTGGAGTGCTGCTTCCTGCAGGCCGTCTACGGCTCCATGGGCGCCTGTCTGCTGGAAAAGCACCAACTCATATTCGATGAGTTCATGAAGCGCATTTCCGGTTTCCCGCTCGTGCAGGACACGCCGGAGAATCCGGCCGGCGGCGGACAGTTTCCGCAGAACAAGCCGTCGCTGTACGACTACTTCTGGGACGTCAAGGAGAACGTGTGGAAGGCCTGGGAGTGGGTGGTGCTGCCGTACACGCACGACCCGGCGGTGAAGTTCAGCGAGATTCTGGTGCCCACGGTGGATAACACGCGCATCAATCGGGCCCTGGCACTCATGAGCGATGTGAGTATTGGGCGGGCACAGTGGGTGCCTGTGTGGGAATGTCATTACTCCTGTTTCCGGGATGCCTTATTAATGTTTGTCCCTATTTCGGTTTGCAGATCAAACGACCCGTCCTGCTGGTGGGCGAGGCTGGAACATCAAAGACGGCCACCATCATGCAATATTTGCGCAATCTCAATCCGACTACCAACGTAATTGAAAAATCTCTCGCACAAACATCGCGTTGACTAACATGGCGTTCCCTTTCGCTCCTTTCGCATCCCTTTCAGGTCATACTCAATATTAATTTTTCATCGAGAACCTCGTCGCTGGATGTGCAGCGAACTCTGGAGGCGGCCGTAGAGAAACGCACCAAGGATACGTACGGGCCACCGATGGGCAAGAGAATTGCCTGCTTTATTGATGACATGAACATGCCGCAGGTGGATGAGTGAGTGTCCTCCGTGTAGTGGTAGAGGTAATGGCTGGAAGATGCTGACGAACTCTCTTTCTCTCTCTGTTTCCTTATACAGCTACGGCACCCAGCAGCCAATTGCCCTGCTGAAGCTGTTCTTTGAACGCGGCGGAATGTACGACCGCGACAAGGATCTCAACTGGAAGAAGTTTAAGGACCTGACCTTCTACGCTGCCATGGGCACCGCGGGCGGCGGTCGCAACGAGGTGGATCCACGCTTCATCAGCATGTTCTCCACCTACAACATCGTGTTCCCCAACGATGAGTCCCTCATTCAGATCTACTCCTCCATTTTCAAGGGCCATTTGAAGTTCGTGAAGTTCCAGGACCGCTTCATGCCCATTGCCGATATGATTGTCAATATGACTTTAAAGCTGTTCAAGGTAAGTACTTGCGACACGCCCATATATACATACATATTTATCAGACTCTGGTTGAGTTCATTTGAATATATAAAGGCACACCTTGACTGCATTCTGTGTAAATTCAGTTGAAGAAATCAATTCCACACTGAATAATGCTTTAAGGCCTCTCACAAATTTTATGAAATTCGATTTACATATGCAAATAACGACAATTTTTCATAATCTGCTTTGCCTTGCCCGGTGCCCTGTGCCCTGTATCCTCTGCCCCTCTGTCTGTACAATGGAACTGGGAATTATTCAATGGTCTTTAATGCACTGCGACGTTGAGCTCCGCTTCGCTTCGTCCTCTCCATCGTTCTTGTTCTCAATCGTGGCTGCTCCATTGCTTTTTCGAGTGCAACTCAGTGCCGTAGTCGGAGCCTCACACCACTTCGCCGAAGCCTCTCCACTCGGCGGCACTCACAATGGTCACCCGCCTCGACGGCTGCCTAGTTGACTGTATCTGTATCTGGGCCTCGGCCCCAGGATGTACATATCTCCGTCTGCCTGGCTGGGTGCTGGGAGCCGGCTGCTGGTTGCCTATCTTCGCCGGAATATCTTGGCCGGAGCGAAATTTGATTATGTTCAAGTATTGAACTGTGGATGGCTCTTTTTCGGAGCTGCAGTGGTGGGCGTGGCCGGGGCTGGGCCGAAGGCATTAGTTTATGGTCCTTTTAACAATTGTTGACACTAAAATATTATCGCATTTCATTGCGTGCAGATAAAAATGCATTTGTCGCCGCAATTGCCACAAGCAGCCGCCTCTGCCCCTCTTCGTTCTATATCCGAAAATGTTTTGGGGAGCGAAAAAATGATTTACTCACACCTGCAGACCCCGAGACCCGCAGATCCTCCCCACCTAGCTCCCTAGTTCGTATGTCTTCCTTACACACTCTGGGCAAGGATATTAATGCGCCACGAAATGGAGTGAAATGAATTATTTGAATAGAATTGCCGTTACTCAGAGGAGCGGCGGTGGCTGCAACTCGATAATGGCTGTAAATTCAGCAACTTGGCAAAGCGCCCCGAGGGCGTGTAGAAGGTCCTTGTGTCCCGGGTGAACGCATATTGCTAGTCGAGATAAAATTGATTTGTGTGGCGTGGCCCCATGGAAGGGCCCAGCAGGATGTAGGGCCTAGTCTGATTACGCTAATTGCTTCCTGACCCGCAGATGGTGATTGTGGACCTGCCGCCGACGCCCTCCAAGTTCCACTACATCTTCAATCTGAAGGATCTGTCGCGGATCTTTGCTGGCCTGCTGCTCATCGAGCCCACGTCCTTTAAGGGTTTAAGGGAGCTGATCAGGGTGTGGCGTAACGAGTATACCAGGATCATTTGCGATCGACTGATATCAGACAATGTAAGCAAAGCCAGGATATTTTTAGTTATCCATAAGACATCATTTCTATTAATCCCGCTTAGGACATCTTGAGTGTGCGGCGTAATCTGGCCCTTGAGGTGGGTGAACGTTTCCCGCCGTCTTTCGAAGAGGAACATGGTTTCATTGATACCGAAGCCGCAGAGGCCGAGGCCCAGGCTCGCCTCCTCTACGAGCCTTCCAAAACGGACCTTGACTACGGCGAGGAGGAAGGCGAAGAGGAGGAGGAGGGCGAGGGCGAAGCTCCCCCGGTAATACTCTCGCTCAAGGACTATGTCCTACGTGATCCTTTGCTTTTTGGAGATTTCCGCAACTTTACCAACGAATCGGAGGCCCGCTTGTACGAGGATCTGCTGGACTACAACTCCGTTTACTCTCTGTTCACCGAAATTCTGGAGGAATACTGCGAGCGGAAGGTCAAGATGACCCTGGTCCTGTTCGAGGACTGTCTGGAGCATCTCACCCGAGTCCACCGCACGCTTCGCATGAATCGCGGCCATGTGCTGCTCATCGGAGTCGGCGGCTGCGGCAAGAAGTGTGTGACCCGGCTGGCCGCCTTTGCCGCCGAGTGCGATGTCTTCGAGATCACCATTTCGCGTGGCTACAATGAAGCAGCCTTCCGCGAGGACCTTAAGGTCCTCTACACTCTGGCGGGGGTCAAGCGCAAGAAGGTTGTCTTCCTATTCACCGCAGCCCAGGTGGCCGAAGAGGGTTTCCTAGAATTGATTAATAATATCCTGACCGTTGGGCAAGTTCCGGCCTTGTTTGCAGATGAGGACAAGGATGGCATCGTTAATCAAGTCCGCAAATTTGCCGAAGAGGAGGGAATCTCGGCTTCCAAGTATGAATATTTTTACTGAGAGAAACTTGTTCCTCTCACCATAGAGATCTTCCTTTTTTAGGGATGCAGTTTGGGCCTACTTCCTGCGCACCTGTGCTGAAAACCTCCATGTGGTTTTGTGCATGTCTCCTGCTGGCGATGCCCTGCGCAATCGCTGCCGCAACTTCCCTGGACTTATTGGTAGCACCTACATCGACTGGGTGTTCCCGTGGCCCAGGCAAGCCCTGTACGCGGTGGCCAAGCTCTTCCTCACCGAGCACGCCCTGATTCCGGCTGCACATCGCGATGCCATCGTGGAGCATGTGGTCCATGTGCACACGACCATACAGCAGTATTCCAGGGACTATCTGGCCAAGCTAAGGCGTAATAATTTCGTGACGCCAAAACATTATCTGGATTACATAAATACCTACAGAGGATTGCTGGGTATGTGCTCTTTCCTATAATAAAGTATTTTCTAATTATTTTTCCCCGCAGAGGAAAAGGCCAAGTTCATCACCCAACAACGTTCCCGTCTCGGCGAGGGCATCAAAAAAATCGAAGAGGCTTCCGTTCAGATCGACGACCTGCGTATTATTGTCACGGAGCAAAAGAAGAACGTGGCCGTCGCCTCGGAGGAGTGCGAGGCCATGCTAGTCACCATCGAGTCCTCAACGGTGAAGGCCAACACAAAGAAGGCCGAAGCCTCGGAGAAATCCGTCGAGGTGGAGGTCAAGGGTAAGCAGATTGCCATCGAGAAGGAAGAGGCCGAGGAGATTCTGGCCGATGCTATGCCTGCCCTGGAGGAGGCCAGGCGAGCCCTGTCCGAGCTGGAAAAGGCACAGATCACCGAGATCCGATCCTTTGCCACGCCCCCGGCCGCCGTGCAAGTGGTCTGCGAGTGCGTGGCCATCCTGAAGGGCATCAAGGAGATCAACTGGAAGTCGGCCAAGGGCATGATGAGTGACGTGAATTTCCTGAAGAGTCTGATGGAGATGGATTGCGAGGCTCTGACGCAGAAGCAGATCACTCAGTGCCGGCAGCACATGAAGACCCAGAACCTGGACGATATGGGCAAGATCTCCGTGGCCGGAGCCGGCCTCCTGAAGTTTGTGAAGGCCGTTTTGGGCTTCTTCGATGTGTATCGCGAGGTCAAGCCGAAGAAGGAGCGCGTTGACTTCCTCGTCGAGGAGCAGGAGGTGCAGATCAAGCTGCTCAATCACCTAAACAGTGAGATCCAGAAGCTGGAGGAGAAGCTAAACGAGTTGAATGAGAACTATGCTGTGTCCATGAAGCAAATGCGTGCCCTCACCGAGATGATGCAGCAGGCAGAGCGGCGCCTGATAGCCTCCGACAAGCTGATCAGTGGCTTGTCCTCCGAGCTGATCCGCTGGAGCAAAGAGATGGCCAGTCTGGGGCAGCAGCTGACGGACAGTGTGGGCATGTGCCTGATTAGCGCCTCATTCCTGGCCTATACCGGAGCCTTCACCTGGGAGTTCCGCAAGACGATGGTCTTTGAAGACTGGCTTGAGGACATCGTCTCCATGGGCATTCCCATTTCCCTGCCCTTCAGGATCGATGCCTACCTCACCACCGACGTGGAGATCTCCCAGTGGAGCAACGAGGGACTGCCGCCGGACGAGCTGTCCATCCAGAACGGCATCCTCACCATGCGCGCCTCCCGCTTCCCGCTCTGCATCGATCCCCAGCTGCAGGCACTGCAGTGGATCCGCAAGAAGGAGACGCGAAACAACCTCAAGGTGCTCTCCTTCGGCGACTCTGACTTTCTCAAGCAGCTGGAGATGGCCATCATGTACGGCACGCCCGTTCTCTTCGAGGATGTGGACGACTACATAGACCCGGTAATCGACGACATCCTGCAGAAGAACCTTCGCACTCAAGGCGGCCGCAAATTCGTCATGCTGGGCGACAAGGAAGTGGACTGGGATCCCGGCTTCCGCGTCTACCTCACCACCAAGTTCTCCAACCCCAAGTTCGATCCGGCCGTCTATGCCAAGGCGCTGGTCATCAACTACACGGTGACTCAGACTGGTCTGGAGGACCAGCTGCTAAGCGTGGTGGTGGGCACCGAGCGACCCGATCTGGAGGCGCAGCGAGAGTCCCTCATCGCCCAGACCAGCGAGAACAAGCAGCTGCTGCAGCAGCTCGAGGATTCTCTGCTTCGCGAGCTGGCTACATCGACGGGCAATATGCTGGACAACACGGAGCTGATCGAGACACTGGAGAACACCAAGACCAAGGCGGCCGTCGTCATGGAGCAGCTGAAATTGGCCGCCGACACGGCGGCAGACATTGAGGTACTGCGTAATGGCTACCGGCCAGCAGCCAAGCGCGGAGCTGTGCTCTTCTTCGCGCTCTCGGACATGGCGACCGTAAACAGCATGTACCAGTATGCACTGGCCGCCTACCTGGACGTCTTTGTCTACTCCCTGCGCAAGGCCGTGCCGGATGCAAGTCTCAATAAGCGCCTGAACAACATCATAAAGACGCTGACGGAGAATGTCTACTGCTACGGTTGCACAGGCATTTTCGAGCGGCACAAGCTACTCTTCTCCTTCCAGATAGCCACCAAGCTGGCCCAACGGGATGGCATCCTGCTGCAGTCCGAGCTGGATTTCTTCATCAAGGGCAGCATTGCCTTGACTAAGAGCGAACGCTCCAATCCCAGTAAGTGGCTGCCGGAAAAGAGCTGGGAGGATCTGCTCAAACTGGCCTTTGATTTTCCTGAGACTTTTGGCACCCTGCCGGATCATTTTGGTCGTTTCCTGACGGAGTGGAAAGAGGTGAGTTCGAAGGGTTTGGAGTAGGCGAAGGGAAGATACTTAAGGACTGAGTCCTGAGATTATAGATATCGTTCTCCTATTTCTATACCCTTGCAAGGTATTATAATAATTAGAATACTTAACGCTGAAAATTGAAGTATAAATCATTATTAGAAACTATTTAGCCAAAACTTCTACTACATTTCATATAATCCCCACGTTAAAGCCTAGTTAAACCAACATTTAAGTGCCCGAAAAAAAGCACATCTCTGAACCGTAAGAGGGGGTTCAACCCTGCTCTGTTAAATGTTCATGTTTTTCATATTTATTTATTTTTTGTTTGGTTTCTTCCCTTTTCTCCTTGTATTCTCCATTCCGATTTTCCCGCTGCTCGCTTGGGTGCATCATCTTCAACGTCAACGTCAACTCGGATGCCGTTATCAAATTGCTGCTACTGCCACTGGAACTGCTCTGTGGACGATGCTATAAAATGCACAACAACAATGGCAACCACCATAAACTACAACAACAACGACCTGGACTCGGATGGTCGATGGGTCCGTAACGGCTCCTTCTCCCGATTCTGATTCGGATCCTGACTGGCATGTGGCATTCACTGACTTCCGTTCCGTTGCCGACTACGACGACGCTCATTTTGCCTTGCACTTATCGCCATCGCCATCGTCATGCGAATGCCCATGAACTGGGTCCATCGCTCAGTGGTTCGACTTGGAGAATCCCGAGGAGGTGGCATGTCCGGGCGACTACAACATCAAATGCAATGCATTCCAGGCAAGTGCCGGCCCTGCCGCTGCTGTGTATTCTCCCCACTCGCTTTGCATGCTTTCAGCTTTCAGCTTCGAGTGGTCCTGGCCAGGAGCTCCTCCAACTCAAGCTTCAGGTCCTCTCCACAGGCCGTTGCTGTTGCTGTTGCCGTTGCCGTTGCCATTGAGCGTTATTGGATTTCGTACTTTATGCTCGCCTCTAGTGGATTATTATGTACAAGGCAGGCCAGGCCAGGCCAGAGCCACACCCACAGGGGATACCACAGCTCTTTGGGCGTTTAGTTTTGCTCGACTTTTGCTACGTCCTGCAACTTTGGCGCACATTTTCTTCTCAAGTTATTAGCAGCCTGTTTTTGTCAGCCAGCCTGCTGTCTCTATATGGATGTCCCTCCCTCTCGCCTCCGTCTGTGTGCATTACCATATTTTATCAATTTTCCAAACCATTAGATGAGCGGCAATTTGCGCCCGCAGTCGCACTTGAAACCAGCACAGCGCCAAGCCAAGCGAGCCCAATTTGCACTTGAGTTGTGCTGGAAGCCGCAGGAGCAACAGCAACAGCAACATCGGTGGCCACAATGGAGAGCAGCTTCTGATGACGAGCTGTCGCCGGCTCATTGTCATTGTGACGGGGTATTAAAATGTCTAAAACCCAATATCTTCGCCTACAGAAATTAATGTTCCTGCGCTGCTTCCGCGTGGATCGCATCTTCCGAAGCATAAATCAATATATAGTTGAGACGATGGATGAGTTCTACATTATGCCGCCGGTGGTGAGCTTTACAGCCATCTTCGAGCAGACCTCCAGCACGATTCCCGTGTGCTTTGTGCTTAGTGCCGGCTCGGATCCCACCAACGATCTGATCAAGCTGGCGGACGCTATCGTGGGCATGTCCAACTTCTGCCACATCTCGCTGGGACAGGGTCAGGAGAAGGCCGCCCTGGGTCTGCTGGATATGGCCATCAAGCAGGGCATGTGGCTGATGCTGCAGAACGGGCACCTGCTCATCAGGTTCGTAAGGGAGCTGGAGAAGTATCTGGACCGGATGGAGAGTCCCCATCCGGACTTTAGGCTGTGGATAACCACAGATCCCACGCCCACATTCCCCATTGGCATTCTGCAGAAGTCCCTCAAGGGTGAGTCTGTGTTAGCCTTTCGCAGGATACTAAGTCTCAAGCCTTTCTTTCGCAGTGGTCACGGAGCCACCCAATGGCCTGAAGCTCAATCTGCGCTCCACCTACTTCAAAGTGCGGCAGGAGCGCCTCGAGAGCTGCTCGAATCCCGCCTTCCGCCCGCTGGTCTATGTGCTGGCCTTCTTCCACGCCGTCGTCCAAGTAAGTGCCACAGATATCGCAATTTACAGTCGGAGCCCAGCTGGTCGAGTGTGTGGCGTTGTTTATTTATTAATCTCTTAATTTCTAGCTGCTGAAAGCTTTTCACAGCGCAGTTGCACAATTGATGGAGGAGCAGAGCTGCTGCTCCTGCTGCTGCAGCAGTTGCAGCAAATTGATATTGATCATCCAGTTGGAGGCACTTCGATTAATCTGTGTAAACGTTTCTCCTGCTCTTACTTCCCCTAGGAGCGCCGCAAGTACGACAAGCTGGGCTGGAACATAGCGTATGACTTTAACGACACCGACTTCGAGGTCTGCACCGAGATCCTGCGCACCTACCTGACGCGCTGCATCGGTGGCAAGCTGCCGTGGAACAGCCTGAAGTACCTCATCGGCGAGGTGATGTACGGCGGCCGCGTCATCGATGATTTTGACCGGCGCATCACCAACTGCTATATGAACGAGTACATGGGCGACTTTCTGTTTGATGAATTCAATTCCTTCCACTTTTACGAGGACGAGAACGTGGACTACTGCCTGCCGGACGAGGAGACGGTGCTGAAGGAGGACTACATAGGTGAGTTGGACGATCTCCCTGGGCTACTTACATATGTAATGCTTTGACAACAGCGCACATCGACAAACTGCCGCTGGTCAACAAGCCGGATGTGTTTGGTTTGCATCCGAACGCGGAAATTGGTTATTACACAATGGCGGCTCGCAGCATTTGGAACAGTTTGATTGACTTGCAGCCGCAGACGGGTGAGTGTTCTGGCCTGGTTGGAGGCATTCAATATTTAACCGGCGTTCCTGCGGGCATATCTGCTCGAGATAGCACACACACCCATTGTTATCGCCATCCACTGATAATTTGAGTCGGAAAAAGCAATGATAATAATGTAATATAGATACGCACACTCGCAGCAGCCCCAGCCTCTGCCTGATGGTGGTAAATGGTTCAATTTGCATGCAACGTGTGCCAATTGTCAGCCGTTTATTACATTTTATCTTGTTGATTTTCATTCCGGCGTTCTCTGCGTTGTATTTTTGGCATGTTGAATTTTTAATTTAATTTAATTAATTAGTTGCGGTTTTGCAATTAACTTTATTGCATGCGCCATTATAGTCGACGCACAACAGCAATGCACACATTAAAAATTAAAATAGAACCGCACACATACACGGGTAGAGATTGCCTGCGCATCTCCATGACCCACCGTCACTCCCACTCCCACTCCCACTCCCATTTCCCTTCTGCATTCATTCACTTTCATCGGGCTGCCGCAAATCGCAGCGAATCGAGTTCAAACCTCACCGCAGCCACCGCCGTCAGAAGTACCAAAAAATGGTGGAAAACGTCACACAAAAGTCGATAATTTGGCGTTACGGGCTTGAACGTGTTAAAACCGCCATCAGAGTGGCTTCCAATTCCACCCTGCACCACCCACCCATCCATGCATATTCCCCTATATGTATGGCCTTGTAAATAATTGTATATACAATTTGGAATACTTTATTTTTTTTTTTAAATATATTCGCACACACATGAAGTGACCAAGTGGACACCGACCGAAGTCAATCCTGGTAAAGTATTCCCCAAACACACACTGCCGTATTTACACCCCCGGTGGCCGCCCATTAAGTGTAAATAAAAGTAATAATAAGAACAAATATTTCCACTGATTAAAAATCGAGTTTAACAATTTTATTTCAATTCAACGCGATTCGCACCAAGATATACTACACGTTGCAGCCGAAAAGGTTCAGCAAAAGGGACTTTTCAAACTCTCTACTAAGAGTTTTTATTACTTCTGAAAATAAAATATTCTTTTCCAATAATAAATGTAATATTAAACACCTTTTTACTAACAAAATAATATTTTAAACGTCAAGTATTCCTTCTAAAACCCAAATGCCCTACGAATATTCGAGTAGAGCCCAGAAAAATTCCAATAATTTGCATATTCATGAGCTTTAGTATTTGCTAATTGACACTTTAACAAGAAATAAACCAACCAAGGGCTAAAAAACCCCATTTGGGTGCCAGATAAAGAGGAAAATTAATAAAAAACAAGCAGAAATAAATGGCAGAGAGAAGAAATGTATAAAGGCAATTGGAAAAACCGCAGACCCTGCATACATTACTGCAGCTCTCTTTTTCCTTGCCTTTGCCCTGACACCTGCCATTGCCACTATAATCCTCGTTTTCGCCGCATCCAGGTGAGGGCACGGGCGGAATCAGCCGCGACGATTTCATCGACTCGGTGGCCGCCGGGATACTGAAGAAGCTGCCGCCCGCCTTCGAGACATGGCGCATTCGCAAACAGATCCAGATGAGCCTGTCGCCCACCGGCGTGGTCCTGCTGCAGGAGCTAGACCGCTTTAATCTCCTGGTGGTGCGCATCAAGAAGACGCTGGAGCTGCTCCGCAAGGTAATTTTCCCGTTGGGACTGTCAATGATGGCCGCACATAAATCCTTCATCCTTGTTTTGCATTTCCCATTTGTTTATGCATTTGCCAAGTTGGCTGGCGACCAAGCAAACAATGTCCAAATTTGAATGTGGGCGCTGCTGGGGGAGATCCCAGGACTCCCAGCTCCCAGCTAAGGCTGCATTTTGTTGCCAAAATAAATTTACAAATGCAAATGAACTCGGGTACAGGCTTTGTCTTGGCCCCGGCCACGCCTACACACATGTATGGCCTTTTAATTTAATTGCATCCAATGCTCTCCACAGGCCATTGCCGGCGAAATCGGCATGGACAATGTGCTGGACAACATTGCCAACTCGTTGTTCAATGGCCTCCTGCCAGGCGCGTGGAGCAAACTGGCGCCGGCGACATGCAAACAGTTGGCCAGCTGGCTGGAGCACTTGCGGGTGAGTGGTCCTCGTCCTCCCGCCTCTCGCAGGCGCATTAATCAGGCCGAGGCCCCGAATCAATCAAGGCGAGTTCGTGTCCACTAATCAGAACCCTTCTTTCCTTCCCCAACAAAGCTCCGGGCCGTGCAATACAAATACTGGACGCTCTCCGGCGAGCCCCTGGTCATGTGGCTGTCAGGTCTGCATATACCGCAGAGCTATCTCACGGCCCTGGTGCAGGTGAGTCTGGGCATTGTCGCACCTCGTAGCCATTGTCATGGCCATTGCCATTACTTTCCATCCGGTCACCTCTGCAGATTGCCTGTCGCCGAAACGCTTGGCCCCTGGACCGCTCCACACTCTTCACCTACGTAACGAAATTCGCAGACCCCGACGATGTGGAGGAGCGCCCAGTGACGGTGAGTGGTTGCAGGAGAGGGAAGAAAACGCTGAATAGGGAGGCTATCCCGGATTCTAAATGCAAAACGATGACCCAGCCCAGCTCCAGCTCCATCCTGGTTCAGGGCCGGGTCTGCGGGGCACTAATTTCGTAATTAGGAATTCTGTTTGCATTTTAATCGCTCAACTTTTTGCAGGGCTGCTTTGTGCACGGTCTGTACATCGAGGGAGCACGCTTTGACTTGGCCACTAATCAGCTGGCGCGTTCCCATCCCAAGGTCCTGGTCGAGGAGCTGGCCATTCTCGCCGTGGAGCCCATTGAGGCGCACCGTCTCAAGCTGCAGGTTGGTATCGGTAACGAGGGGGATGGGAACAGGGCCTGGTTAGCCAGGATAGTTACTGGCTAGCTGGCTGGCTGGCTGGCATCGCCGCCGCCTGGCAGTGACAAGTACTAATGTGCGCTTGTATCTACATATGCCCGAGGCGGTGGCAGTGGACGGGGGCGTGGCCACGCTGATATTTGTTTAAATGCATCGCACTAAATTACCAACAGCTTCCGCCCTCGCCCAGCCAACTAATGGGGCATCTGTGCTTTGCTAATTGTTTCCGAGTTTAAATGGTAGCAGCTTTAAAGTGGAAGGTTTTAGGAAATGCTTCTGCTTTCATCCTTAATACTATCTCCTTTTCAGAACACTTTCCTGGCCCCAGTTTATACAACGTCACTGCGCAGGAATGCCATGGGCGTGGGCCTGGTCTTTGAGGCAAATCTGGCCACCTCCGAAGATCTGAGTCACTGGATATTGCAGGGCGTCTGCTTAACGCTCAATACGGACCTCTAAGGCTATATAGAAGACTGATTTATTTATTTAAAATTCATTATTTTTCATGGAATTATTTTTACCTAACAAAAAAATTGCAATTTAATTTTACACAGTTTTTTCGGCTGTTTAAACATGGAAAAATCTGTAAGTAGATTTTAGAAATTATATAAGGGTTTTTAGGATTTATCCTATTGTCTGTGGAATTAGAGTAAACTTTGAGGAAGATTTAGTTTGTATTATCACCTAAATAAACACATTCCTTAAATATCTTTAGTTCTACATTAATATATGATAATTTCTTTGACAAGTCAAATTTTTAAAATGCCATATCTAAGCCAAAAAAGCCTGAAATTCAGTTCGGAAAACTTCTTTATGCTAGTTTTTTTTAGATTAACAAAGGTGCATACTAAATTTAAAAAATTAAAAAATCAAAATTTTTGTCGATTTTCGAGAATTTTAATGATGTAACCCCTTATCAATTTTGATAAAAATGACAAAAAAAAAAGTTTCTTTATAACATGGCTAGAACGACGCGCCTGCTGATGCTGATCAAGAATATATATGATTTATAGGGTCGGAGATGAATACTTTTCGAAATAAAGTCATAATACCCCTCAAGAAAACCAGAATTCTGGTAAGTCACCCCTTCAGTGGGCTGCAAACTTCCGACAAAAATTAGAGCACCCTGAAATGCTCTAGAGTAGTAAAAGACAAAGGAGCTCTTCAGTATTGATTAATATTTATCGAATGGATTTTACTAAAGCCAAGTATATCTATGTTTACAGCTCTGTAGTGGCAATGGAGTTTATCAGTATTAAGTACGTAGGTTGCTAGTGCCTGTCAATAACGTGATTTGTGCCTGAACCGCCTGATATGGCTCCGCTCCGCCTGGCATTACCTGCGCCGCCAGCAGCCGAAGCAGCTCTTGAACTTGTCCAGAATGGTGGACTTCATGGAGGGCAGCAAGAGCTCGAGATTCTGGGTGCCTGCACTGTCGTCCGACTCCAGATCCGAGTCAATGGTCATTTCCTGTATGCTAAAGGTGTCTGTTAGCTCATGGTTCTCCTGTCGACGCTTGGACCGCTTCAGCTGGGCCGGGAAGAAGGAGATCTCCTCGGCCTCGTCACTGCTCTCGGACTTGTAATCCACCAGAGGCTTGTGCTCGGGCTCGCCGGGAATGGGAAGTCGGTTGATCGGTATCAGGGTGGACGACTGTGTCTTGGTGGCCTGTAAAATGAGAAGGGTTTATTGCGATTTGAACGGACCAACTAAGAGGACTGTGGTTAAGTCACCTGCTCTTCCTGGAACTGGGTGTAATTCCGCCGAGCCCGCTCGACCTTCAGCTCTAGCTTGCGCTGCAGAATGCGGCAGGTGTTTGGTGGTTCGTGGCCCCGACCGGTGGCGGCCGCTTCTTCTTCCTCATCGATTTCTATGGTCGTGGGGGCATACACCTTGCTGGCGCCCCTGAAAGCCACCTCAAACTCCAGATCCGACATATGTTTGGGTGCTCCGCTGGCCGTTTTCTGCAGTGACGTTGGCCGTGGAAAATTGCATTGTTTCGGCGAAGGCCGTTTGTTGTTGTCACTCACCAGCAGGCCCGCGGCCCCATCCTCGTAGATGTTGGATTGCCTGTCCTCGCTATCGATGCCGCTGTCCTCCATTACGCTGACTCTGGCTGGACTCCGTGGAACTCGGTTAAATGTACTTTCCAAACCCAAATTGCACGCGATGGCAATACAAACAATTTTTTTATTGTCTTCCTCTGCTACTCCCAAACTCCAATCTCCCAAATCAACCCCGGAGCGCAGGGCGCAGGCTCCGGCGAACAGCTGCTGCTGCGGAAAAGCTCGGAAAAATCAATAACCCCTTGGCCCAAAGCGTTGCCAGACGGCCTGGCCTTTGAATTTGGAGAGGGTGAAAAATAAGAATAACTCGCCTATACAATATGCACTCTTTATTATGTACTTTTAATTTATTTACAATTATTCGTTTTAGGCTTAAATGCTTTAATCGTTGCACAGAAATGTCGTAGAACTAGAAAAAAGGTAGAATGCAAATTCGTTTTAGCCGCTTTTCTTGATGTTTTGAATTTAAGGTTACTCCGTAATCAAGAATAAATAGGAACACAAACATAAAAACACTAATACTATTTGCTTTTTGTTCTGGAAGAAGGTAAATACTACAAGTTCGTTCGTTCTTGATCTGTTAGGCTATGGCTATGGCTTTTTGGTCTCTCTGCTATTAGAAGGACACCCGGCTCGGTCCGCCAGGCTGCCCGAGAATGTCGATCCAATTATTCTTGCGTTTAAAATCAACTCAAATTCAATGCAAAAATCGAAGAAAAATACTCTGCAAGGCATGGAATTACAGGTTATTGGGATGAGGCGACTCTATCTGGCCCGCCAGGGTGCAGGATCGGCAGCAGAACTTGCGGTAGTAAGCGTTCACGCAGTACTTGCCCTGGACGATCAGTTTGCAGTTGGCAAAGTAAGGATTGTCGATGCACTCGGGCGAGACGGGTATAACAGCTGGAAGGAGGGGATATTATTTATTAACTTATTTTATATTATTTTTTTTAATTTTCAAAAAACTTACATTGAATGTTCACCTTCGCCTGGCTGTTGGCGTACGTGTAGGCATTGCTGGCCCGGCAGATGTAGATGCCAGAGTCCTCGGCGGTCACATCACTCAATACCAGGCGATGGGGGTGGGCTGTAGGTCAAAGAATTTCACAAAAAATAAATTAAACTGCTTCAGATATTTAGCTAAACAATTCCCACCTGTAATTTGCACACGCTCATTCTCATACAGGGGCACGCCATCCTTTGCCCAGGTCACATTCGGAGCCGGATAGCCCTCCACAGAGCAGCTCATGGCTATGCTAGAGCCGGCTGTGTAGCTGTTCTTCGGATCCAGAGCCACCACGGCATGGACATTGACTAGGAATCACACAAACAGAGATTATAATCCCATTCCAAGACCCTCTTTTCACAACAAAACAAAACAAACCCATGCCAGGCCAGGAGAAGCATGCAAGACACTCTACTTACCGGTGGGAGGAGGCACGTAGGCCGGTCGAGTGGGTCGGTAAGGATAGCTGGGACGCTGGGTAACCGGCGCCGTGGCTGGGTCCAGCACATACTGCAGATACTGGGCATCCTCGTGGGTCAAGGCTCGAGCAGGACCCACCGCCTTCAGCGTGACGCGCAGCGATACAGGACGCCGTTTGTTGTACACCTCACAGGTGTACAGACCCAGATCCGACAGTTGGATCGTATTGAAAACCAGCGAGTAGTCGCGGGCCATCTCGGCGCGATCTTGGGCGTTGAAACCAAAGATCTGGTTGTTGCGCCACCAGCTCACGTGTGGTTTCGGATGGCCACCGGCAGGGCAGCGGATCACCGCTGGGCGGTTCAGCTGGACGATCTGGGTCACGTTCTTGTCGCCATAAATGTAGGCGGGTAGGTCAACGGGAGCTACCGTCACCAAGATGCAAGCAGGGATTAAAAAAGCAAGCAGCATGCGCCAAGGATGCAATGCGAAGCAGTTAGTTACATAAAGCCAACACCAAATGAAAACCACTAAGGCAAAGCATAATCTGGGATCTCAAAACTTTCTAAGATCCCAATTATTCGCCTTATAAAAGTGGTTTTCTTATAGATAAACTCATTAAGGAACTTGGTTTAAAACATACCTGTCACTTGGAGGGCAACCTCACGACGCACGGGCTCTCCCAGGCCATTGCTGGCCACACAGACATATGTGCCATCATCCGTTTGACGCACCTGGACAATAGTCAGGTCACCGTTCGAAGTCAGGACATAGCGGCCTTGGTTAGTATCGATCTGTAAATCAAACAATCAGGACATTTACAAAAGGAACTAAGAGTATTTAAAGGATATAACAACTCACCACCACGTTCTTGAGAGACCAGGTGATATTCGGCGCCGGATTGCCAGTGGCGAAGCAGCGTAGCACGGCGATGCCGCCAATGGAGGTCTGCACGTCCAGTTCACGCGGCTCCTTGGGCTCCAGGGCGGCTCGGCTGTCGCCAGGATAGACAACCACTGGGGCCTGGGTGCTGGGTGCCAGAGTAGGGTTACCAGGAGCCCTACAGAGCTGACCGCAGCCATCGCTGCAGCACTTGTTGTCGCCTCGGCAGTCGGCATCGCTGTAGCACTCCCTAACACATCCGCTGGCGTTGGTCGGGAGGTAGGGACACTCGCCGGGCTTGGTCACATCACGGCAGACGGGTACAAACTGGCGGTCACCAGAGCTAGCCACCTCAACGGCGCATTGCTGACCCTCCGGGCAGTTTTGGCTTTCGCAAGGATTCTCGCAGTCGCACTGCGTGCACTCTGGCTGGGATCGAGCAGCCTGGCGGCGTACGCCGTAAGCACAACGGAGCTCTTGGCACTCAGCCTCGTAGCTGTCGCACAGACCCTGTTCCACGTTGTTATTGGCGTTGTTATTGTCGACGGGTCCTGCGAAAGGAGAGCGTGAAATAGAGCAGTTCAGTAAAGACAGCATCGAAATCAAGTGTCCCCATTCCCGTAACCCGTGCAAGTCTTAAGCCTAGTGAAAGTGCTCTACTCAAATCTACGGATGCTATTTCAAAGTTCTACAAAGTCAAGCAGGTTTTCGGGTGAGCGGTCTAAGTGCAAGGTGCATTCGGGGGTGTGGGTGCAGAGTGCTCTGTGGTTCAGAGGTGCATAGGTGCAGAGGTTGGAGGGCAGGCTTACTTCCGCACTGATTCGTGCATGCCTCGAACGACCGGAAGTTGTTCTGGTTGCCGGAGCAACCCGAGTAAATGAAGGACACACAGGTGCCGTGGGCATCGTCGTAATACCAACGGCGCTCATCCGTCGAGGGTCCGTTGCAGCGGCCCACAGCCACCGGCAGCAGGCAGATCTCTACTTACGTAAAATGGGAGAAGAAGCAACGTTAGCTCAACGACTCCTCGAAGGATACCACCCGCCTCCCCCCGAAAATGTTACCTTTAGCATTGCTCGGAGTCGGCTCGCGGGCCGGCATGCAGACGCTTTGACACTCGTGTT